CTAACTGTAGAAGTCATAACATAATTTACCTCCTAGAATGCACACTATGCTAGAAACAATATATAGGAAAATCTGAATGGACCTTTCACTACAGAATTAATAATTATCGTAAGCGAATTAAATCGACTCCCCATGAAAAATTACCTGTAGAACAACATTTCCGCCTGGAAAAACATGATTTCAAAACCCATGCCAAATTCATTATAATTGAGAGAATAGAAAAGTTCAGAGCAGATAACATTAGAAAGATTTTAGAGTCCCATGAAAATAAGTGGATACAACGTCTAAAAACACAACATCCAGCCAGGCTAAACCATAAATTTAACAATATATAGATAGTAATAATATATAAGTCAACAAATCAAAACCTACCCACATTTCTCACCCACACAAGACAGGCATGCTTACGGAGGTGTGGAGGCCTCACAAGTATACACACACCCACACGAATATACACACTTACACACATCATACTCACTCACTCCCTAATGAGCCAAATGATAACACACACCTACAGCAATACACACGCTTACACATATCATACTCACTCACTCCCTAAGAACCAAATAACACACACACAAACACTAAACAGAGACACATCCCCTCACCAGGTCCAATAAAACTGTCAAACTGACCAGAGAATTCAGAATAACATGTATCTATCCAGTTCTTATCTCAAATAACAACGTAAAAGAGACTGTTTGACCAACACAAGGAATGTTAAAAGATTCATGTTAAAAAGATAAAAAAATAAAAAAACAAATGAAAACTATAGACAAAAGTTCATTTTCTCCAGCAAGACATACATTTCTGTAGTTCACTGCTACCAGCAAGCAGAAACATTTCTCCTCCCGACGATGGCCATTTCGGTCAAAACTAGTCGAGGAATCTAAATGGAATAATAATAAAAAAAAAAACGAAAGAATATTAATCTACAACCCAGTGTGTCTAAAGATTTTAATTTTTTATTTTCTTATTGTTCAATATATATATATATATATATATATATATATAGAGAGAGAGAGAGAGAGAGATATGAATAGACATAGATATGACTACAGATAAAAGGGAAACCTTAGATAGATAGATAGATAGATAGATAGATAGATAGATAGATATGAATTGACATGAATTGACATGATGGATTTAAGGCAAATGAAATGATTTCATTTTGCGCCATCTATTTATATACAGAAGTAAAATATCGTTAGGTTCACAAAATGTTTTCATTTAAGAACCCATATCCTTAATCTTCATGCCGACTCTGAAACTCGGGGTAAACTATGGAGGGCGGTAAGTGATGTAATTTAATGCCTAATAAAGGAAAATAAATGTTGTTATTTTTGTTGCAGCGATTTTATTTGTTTGTTTTTTTTTATTTATTTATGCAATGATTATTTTCTTTTAATTTGATATTTGTTTTAAAATTTACATTTAACCCTTTTATTTCATAATATGTTTTTTAATTTTATTTTTTACATTTTTTATTGTCGTGATGAAGGTATTTCTTTTAGAAAAAGAGAGATTTGAAAAAAATCGAGGCATAGATATATATATATATATATATATATATATATATATATATATATATATATATATATATATATATATATAATGTGTGTGTGTGTACAGGGATTCGATTGCGGCTAACGTACATTAAAAGATACGCACTAATCGAAAAACGAATTAATCGAATTTAATAACTTAAAATAATGATGTAATTTGTACGTCGAATGTTAGTCACATTCATAATTTCTAGTTTGCGTACATTTTAAATAAAATATAGGTACAAATAAGAAGATACAATAAAAATGCTATGAATAAATATTTATTAATCTGAAAAAAAGTTCTTTCTACAAATTTGTCGGTTCTTGGCTTCATCAGGGTTTACTTGTAAACATTTTCCTTTAAATTCTTTAATGATCCAGAAAATTTCTGATAATCCCTTCTTTGTCATCTTCTTATACTTACGGGGAGGTAAATATTAAAATCTAAAAAAAAAATTCAAATTAATTTTAAAAAAAAGAATGTTATGTACATTTTCTATTTTTTTTAATTTTTGAAACATATAATCATCAGTATTTTAAGCTGAAAATTTTATTTTAAATGAAAATTTTACTTTATTTTAAGAAATTCTAATTTAACATGAAAATTTTATTTATTTTAAATGGTAATTTTATTTTATTTTAACCTGAAAATTTAGTTTTAAGTGATAATTTTATTTTATTTTAAATGGAAATTGTGTTTTAACCTGAACATTTTATTTATTTTAAATGGAAATTTTATTTTATTTTAACCCGAAAATTGTATTTCCATAGTAAATGCATACATCTTTTAAATTTACATATTTTTTAATCAATGTAAATTTCTGTATCTAATTAAATCATCCACTTTTTTAACGAAAAATAATTCCTTTTAAGACCGTCAAAATAAACATTAAATAAAAAATATTAAAAACTTTCAATAGAGACAAATATTCAAACATCTGTTTTTATTATCTTCTTATATTATAATATATATATATATATATATATATATATATATATCACCGTGCATTTTTAACACTGCTGTAATTACTAAGATAACGAAATACTTGTTAAACAATATAGTTACCCATTTTTGAATTTTAGAAAATTTAAAATTAATCCGTAACCATAAAAAAAATCAATATTCAGTTAGTATGGTTATCCTAAAGAATGTTTTACCACACTAATCAAGTTTGACGTATGCAGTAATCCAATTTTGGTATATAAAACATTACCTCACTAATAGAAAACAAATTAATCGAATGCACATTAATCCAGGAATTCCAGTACATACACCCTTGTGCAAATTAATTGAAACAACGGCTTTATTTTCCTTTCTTTCACCATACGGTCAGTTTTATAACCACTGGAATGACAGGGTGTAATCGATTTCTATTTTTCCTCAGATTAGGTCATTTGCAGTGGTGTACTGTAATATGAATCTATTTTCGAGGTATGTGATGAAATCTATTTGGCCTTGAAAAATATTGCATCAGATTTACATCACGCCAAGACACTGTTGTCTCGACTGTCGATTAGTTGTCCTACGGTCATTGTCTACGATGAACTTTACTCCAAGAAAGCGTACGGAAATTGCAACGCTGCACGGACACACTGGCAAGTCTTACCAGTGAGCAAATCAAAGTATTATAGACTGGCGCGGAAACTCTCCAATTTTAAATCGAGAATCTGTAGTCAAAATCGGCAAGGAGCGACTGCGTGATATATGCTTAGGCGATCATCTATCTTGTGATACATGACTGAAGAGGCAGATTTTTTCCACTGTAGATTGCCATTTCTTTCTGCGGTAGACCAGTTGCCATCCAAAGCTAAAGAACCCGGTCTGTCCTGCTATTTACCCATAGCTGGGGGGAGATGAAGGTGATTCGTACCTTCCTAAAGGCACGTAAGTAAATGTAATGGATTCGACTAGTATGGACATACGAAGTATTATCATGTGCATTGGTCATGTTTCATTGGAAATATAGCATAAAAGTAAATAATAACTGAATTATCCAGTTTCTTCCATTAAATTGGCATACAAATCTGAGATGAGGTATTATGTACATTATTTACATTATTTGGACTATTGTTCCCATCTTTATCGCCATATTTATTACAACGTTTCGGCCTTTCAGTATCTGTCTATATTTCTGAGATGAGGCATTATGTACATTATTTACATTATTCGGATTATTGTCCTCATTTTTGTTGCCATATTTATTACAACGTTTCGGCCGTTGTACGCTCCGTCCTTCTTCAGGTGGTTGGAACGTCGAAGTGAACCCTTTATTTCGCACACTGGAGTAGACTGTTCTAGTTCCACGTGCCATGTTTAATGGATGTCAGTTATCAGTTATCTCCTGATATATATATATATATATGTGTGTGTGTGTGTATGTGTGTGAAATGGGCCATGCTTCTATGTACAACTGTAGTTATTACAGCTAAAATTATATATTACTCAGCATATTACATATGCGATAATTACAGAAAAGAACGTACTTAAAGAGTAAGAGTTTCAACACCTCCTTATATGCACCCTTGTGCAAATTACATTATTTGGACTATTATCCTCATTTTTGTCGCCATATTTATTACAACGTTTCAGCCGTTGTTTAAGGGATATCAGTTATCTCCTGTTAATTTCCCTCTGAAAGTTCTCCACCACCTTAACCAAGTATTGAACTCACATTCTTTGGGTTCTGTCACTGGATCTAACTAACGCCTTTATCCACTGTGCCATGTGTATAGATATGCAAAATAAATTTTGAAGAGAAAATTCTTTTTTCGCACGAGACAGCTAACTTTCTTAGCATTTGACCAAGCAGTGGATTCAATATAGTATTTTCACTTTTAGCGTCCGAGTGTATAATTTATGTGTGGAAGTGTATCCTAATTCTACTTTATCTGTGCGGGATTAGGATGATAATGTCTGTTTCAACGACGCATTAGTTAGATCCAGTGACAGGACCCAAAGAGTGTGAGTTCAATACCCGGTTAAAGCAGTGTAGAACTTTCAGGGAGAAATTAACAGGAGATAGCTGATATCCCTTAAACAACGGCTGAAACGTTGTAATAAATATGGCGACAAAGATGAGGATAATAGTCCAAATAATGTAATTTGCACAAGGGTGCATATAAGGAGGTGTTGAAACTCTTACTCTTTAAGCATGTTCTTTTTCTGTAATTATTGCATATGTAATATGCTGAGTAATATATAATTTTAGCTGTAATAACTACAGTTGTACATAGAAGCATGGGCCCATTTCCCACACACACACACATACACAAATATATATATATATATATATATATATATATATATATATATATATATATATATATATATATATATATTAACATATATTAATCCTTTCATTTCTTCATGGTTGCTCAGTCCCCCAAACACACCCAGAGACATAAAATGAAGACGAAGATAAAACCGTTGGTGCTATCGGATATGATAAAAGAATGCCGCCATTTCTATCTTTCTTCTTCAATAGTCCGCAGGTAAGTAATGTCGATAAGCAATAAGTAATATATACATGGCAGGAGGGAAGGAAATGAGGTTGGATGGTGTAAGGAAAGAACGACGGCAGGTAAATGTTGGAGAGAGGGTGTCCACATGAATCGGCATGATACACGCTATGAATGGGTAAGAAAATGAAAAAAAGAAAAAGAAAAAAGAAATTATTGCAAAGTCTATAGGAATTGACGATGAGACGAGGCGGTTTTTGTGTAAAATTTCCAGTTGGAAATAATTCTTTTTCTTCTATTTTTTCTTCGTTTTTTTTTTCCCCTTCCTTATTCTTTTTGGCTTTTCTTCAAAGAAAAATAGGACAAAAAATAATTTAAAGAATTTGTCTAGAATAACCTAAGTAGAAAGGAATGGGTAACTGACATGCGTGGTCGGATGCTTCCTTTCTTTCGTTGTCCATCGGCAAATAGTAATTTTTACGAGCAACGCGAATGTTATGTCATATTACAAATTTTCTCTAAGTAGGAATAAAGATAAGACGCAAGAGAATACGAGAATATGCGCATGCGTTAAATGTCTTAGATGCGCATGCGCTAAGAATATTTTGTCGTGTATGCTTATACTATAACTACATGAGTTTTTACTTTATCAAAAGGGATTATGCTTATCATATCAATGTCTATGCGTAAGCATTCTTACGTTCAAACACATTTTGCAGCTATACAAACGTATAAATACTGATGCGTATGATGGAGGTACATACATATTCACGGATAAATATTGTAAAGAATAATGAATAATTTAAGTGAATTGATTTGATTGTCTTTTTATTTAATGTTGAGATTATAATTAAAAAAATTATATTTTTTTTGTATGCAGGCAATATCAGAATAGATCTGTATATACGTATTTAGAGGCGTTCACGTCGTTAAATGGTTGTCCTATCTACCTATTTTGACCTGGTCATAATATATTTTAATTAAATTCTACCCAATAAAAGGCCAAACAGCCAAGGTTGCTTAGTGTAAGAAAGAGCAAAAAGTTAAGTTATTGGAGCGATGCAGGGAAAATAACGATTAATTTTAGACTTGATGTTGAATAGAAGTTTATATTTTATTGGTAAACCTTTACATATCAACCATATAATACGAGTACATAGGATCAACTGTTGAGCAAGAATAGAATTTTAGCCTTTCTTCCCTGTTGAGCATTGTGTTTCCGGTTCATAGTAAAGTTTACATCAACTCTATGCTTCTAACGTTTCCGTATAAACTCTGAAAAATAATTTATAAATAAGTAAACTGTCCTTTCTCGGATCAAATAGACTCTCCTTTCTCGGATCAAGTATATTCTCCTTTCTCATATAAAGTAGACTGTCCTTTCTCGGATCAAGTCGACTGCCGTTTCTCGAATCAAGTAGACTCTCCTTTCTCGGAACAAGTAGACTTTCCTTTCTCGGATCAAGTAGACTGTCCTTTCTCGGATCAAGTAGACTCTCCTTACTCGTTTCAAATACATAGCTCTTTCTCGGATCAAGAAGACTCTTCTTTCTCGAATCAAGTAAACTGTCCTTTCACGGATCAAGTATACTCTCCTTTCTCGGATCAAATAGTCTGTCCTTTCTCGGATCAAGTAGGATGTAATTTCTCGGATCATGTAGACTGTCCTTTCTCGAATCAAGTAGACTCTCCTTTCTCGGATCAAGTAGACTTTCCTTTCTCGGATCAAGTAGACTCTCCTTTCTCGGATCAAGTAGACTGTCCTTTCTCGGAACAAGTAGACTCTCCTTACTCGTTTCAAGTACATAGCCCTTTCTCGGATCAAGAAGACTCTTCTTTCTCGAATCAAGTAAACTGTCCTTTCTCGGAACAAGTAGACTCTCCTTACTCGTTTCAAGTATATAGCCCTTTCTCGGATCAAGAAGACTCTTCTTTCTCGAATCAAGTAAACTGTCCTTTCTCGGATCAAGTAGACTGTCGCTCCAGAATAACAACGATAATGACTTAAACTACATGGTAACATTGTTAAACAAAGCTTAGGAAGGAATCTTCTATGAATATTAGAAAAAGCTATGACAGTTTTTGGAATTTGAAAACCTATTTTCCTTAAAATATCGGTGCAAGAATTTTTTTCAACCAAAGTAAGTGTTTAATGAATTGCGAATGTTTCTTGTACAGAAACGGATAATTTTACACTTACCATTTCTGTTACGAGATACCTATAAATACAGACTCGGTGAATGACTTTTGTAATTTACACGCAAACTCGTAACAAAGACATTCGCTATCCGTCTGTATTTCTGAGATGAGGTATTATGTAGATTATTTACATTATTCGGATTATTGTCCTCATCTTTCGGCCGTTGTACGCTCCGGCCTTCTTCAGGTGGTTGGAATGTCGAACTGAACTCTTTATTTCGCTCACTGGGGTAGACTGTTCTAGTTCCAAGTGCCATGTTTATTGGATGTCAGTTATCAGTTATCACCTGTTAAT